AGGCATAATACATAAATTGGACCTTAAACTTGACTTCGAATTTTAAGTATGACCTCTAACTTTCAAAGTGCACAAGTAGGCACTTCAACTATCCAATTCTTAAACAAAAAAACACGCGAATCCAACCTGGCATAACTCGTGATTGAGACGCAATTCAGGCGCGTCAGGGGTATTTTTCGAGGCCCACAACAGTAAAAAAAAAAGCGGAAATGACAATTTTACCCTTAATGAATCCCTTTTAAATATATCTTTATTTTTTTCAAATCAAAATCCCATTTTTCTTCTTCTTCTTCCTAATTCTAGTACTCAAGCTTTTTTTCTCTTTTTGTGCACAATTTCTGGTCGTTTTTTATGTAATGGCTTCTAATTTTTTTTGTCATTGTGTAAAAAGAGCTATAATAAAGATTTCTTGGTCTGCAAATAATTCAGATATAAAAAAAAGTGAATTTGCATTCATGGTGACAGTTTCTACCAAAAATAAACTTTCAAAAAGCAAAAATTAACATAACCAGACTAAATTGAGGAAGAACAACACATAAACATCCAAAAGATAAGAACTTTGACCACAAATCTTCACAATTTTACTTTGATTTGCAAAGAAATTAGGACTAGGGCTCCGCTGATGTTGAGTGAAAATCGAGCAAATTGGGAAAAGAAAATACGACCCTACCCTTTTGTATTTTAATTTCTTTTTTTTTAATTATAAAATACGTGTAATTTTTTAATTACGTGGCAGCCACTGAGTGGCTCAATAAGCCACGTAGGAGCGTTTGTATATCACACAATTTGGCTGTTGGATTCGCGTGTTTTTTGTTTAAGAATTGGATAGTTAAAGTGCCTACTTGTGCACTATGAAAGTTAGAGGTCATACTTAAAATTTGAAGCCAAGTTTTTGGTCTAATTTATGTATTATGCCAAATAAGAATATGAAACCGTTTGTATGAAACATTCTCTTTTTCTAAGTGAAATTGATTGAGAATACGATTGTTAAATCAACAAAGTTAACTAATACATATCTTCTAGACTTAATTGAGAAATTAATATACTCATTCTGCCTCAAGTTATCTATTGTGAATTCTAATTATCTGAAATTATTTATTGTTTAATTAGAAGTTCAAGACAATATTAATTTATTTTTTTTCATTTTATTCTTAAAAGTTATTGTTCTTAAAGACTACAAACATCAACTTATGGATGATATTAATTGTTCAAATAACAATAAATGATAAAATAATTAGTGTTTTTTAAGGAACATGTGAAAGAGAATCACTATAATGTATGGAGTTTTACCAGTCTAGGCTCTAGAATCTTGATTCACACTTGATATAAGCATGTGTTTCTCTAAGCTTAAAAACTCTTTTGTTCCTCAATTCTTAAGTCATTCCGGTCACATTATTCTTAGGACATTAAGACTCGATTTCAAAGTCAATTAAGATTCAAAACTAACAATGTAATTAATTATAAATTCAACATTTAGTTTTTTTTTTCAAACAAAACCCTTTTAGATGATCAATAAAACTAAAATCTCAGGCATAAATTTAAATTGAATTAGTTGGATTTAACATAAATTGAATTCTTAAAAATTTTGGGGGGGGGGGGGGGGGTAAGGGGAATCAAATTTCTGGTGGTGGTGGTGGAGCAATGCAGTGAACGATAATGGAGGTGGCAGAACATGATTAGGCTAAGGCGGCGGTGCCGCAGAGGCGAAGTCAGAATTAAGAGTTTGGGGGTTCTAAGTTTCTTTAATAACCGTCAATCAATTTTGTTAGAGAATCACAAATTAATATACATATATAATTAATTAATTTTCTAATACAAATATAGGATATACAGAAAAACTACTGAATTCGTCCGAACTCATGAACCTCCACCTAGCTCCGCCTCTGGGTGGTTTGGATGCTAGGGTGGTCCCCAACGTGAGGGAGTGGAGAGCAGAGACAGAAGGAGAGAGTGGAGGAGGGAGGGGTAAAACACCAATTGGAAAAAAGGACCCCAAAATACTATTCACTTTTTTTGAAATATTATTGTACTTTATTGAAAAATAGTATTTGACTATAAAAATTTCAAATACAATTTCAAGTTGTATTTGTAATTTGAAAAACAACCAAGAGTAAAAGATCTTGTTTTCACTTTATTTTTTTTTTAAAAAAAAATTATTTGTTTTTAAAAAATCCTAAATTTATTGTTTTCATAAATTAAATAA